ACCTCTCAGTAGTTTTTAACTATTCAGAGGAGTACATGGCATGCACCCCAGAACTCAGAAGCTGAGATAAAAACTGCCATAAATTGGTGGCCAACCTGGGCTAGATAATAAAACAACAGCAGCAAGATTCTCTTCAGGAGAGTAGAGCAGGGCTAAGAATTTCAAGTGACTGAAAAACTCTTAATCCTCAGAATAGAATGAGATTTACAATACTTTAACTACAGCACTCTGGTTCCCATATGGAAAATAACTTTAACAAATTTGTATAGCCACTATGGAAATCAAAATGGCAGTTCCTCAGAAAACTGGGAATAGATCTACCCCAAAATGCTGCTATAGCACTCTTGGGCACATATGCAAAGGATGCTCCATCCAACCCAAAAGACACATTCTCAACTATGTTCATAGCAGCTTTATTTGTAATATCCAGAAAATGGAAACAATTTAGATGTCCCTCAACCAAAGAATGAATAAAGAAGATGTACTATATTGATATAATAGAGTATTACTCAGTTACTAAAATATGGACATCATTTGCAGAAAAATGGATGAAACTCCACCTGCCAAGACATATAGCACTTTTTACCCAATAAACCAAAAGTCTCACAGATAAGGAACAACAAGAACAAAACCTAAATAAATAAATGATCCTTGGGAATATGATGCATCAATACAAGATGCTGTGTATGGTAAATTTGCAGCATGAATTGAATCCAATCCAAAGAAATTTCCCAACAATTTATAACAGGAAAGCTGATTGTTCAATCACAGTGGAAACACTCAGAATGTTCAATGGGATTGTGAAAAAATAGTACAGAGATTGACACAGTATGACTTCTATACTTACCACAATACTACAACAATCAAGAATGTGTAGAATATTTGTGAAAGAAAAAAGGGCATGGAGAGAAAAAGCCAAGAACAAAGGCAGGAAAATATAGTCAACTTTTAATCATAAGTCCAAAGGAAACTCAGTCAGGAAAAGTGTGATCTGAACTAATGTCAGTCAGCTCCCTATGATTCTATCTGTATAAAAATTAAATAAAAACAGACTTCACAACTTCCACAAAAATAACTCAAAATGGCCCTTTAACTGTTATGTTCCTAACCCTCCAGCTACTGATATTTCTTCTAAAGACAGAAGCCCCATGCTCTAGGGCTCTCTCTCTCTGCAAATGGAGGTGATCTCTTGCTATGGATTTATAGCCCCCTATAGCTCCTTGTAGTTTCAGGTAAACCCATCCCCACTGATGCCCAATAGCAAAAGAACACAGAAGAATAATTTAAAATCTGCTTCTTGCCAAATGGATTATTGCACAAGAGGTGAAATCTGACCTATCTACCTGCCCAGCACCATGGACGCTTGAGAAATCTCTGCAGATCAGAAACCCCCCTTTGTCCTCTGGAACTGAACTTCACTGAATCATACCATGGTGGTTTGCTAAAGGATGATCCATAACACCTCTTTCTATCAGGTGCTAAACTATTTGTAACACTTATAAGCCAAACCTGACAGTGGAATGCAATATTCAGAATGTCTAGAAACTAGACCATCATTTTCCAATTCATTTACCTACCACACACCACAAGCAACAACTGCACCCTGGACAGTGATATTACATGCATCATATCCTCCCATGCCAAAGCTTCTGCCTCCCCCTGCCCAGAAAATTCCACACAGGAAGGCTTAGAGGACAAGGGCCACTGCCAAGGTTAGCAGAAGACCAATAGAATCACAGTCTGGCTCATGGCCCATTGAAGTCTCAGCAGAAATGGCAATACAGTAGACCTGCTCTGGAAATCCCACATTCACCATGGCATGGCTGTGGTCTTCCTTACAACTCCCTACAGCAGAAACATAGAAGAATCATGAAAAGAACAAGCTAGGGCCACCCAGCTGGGCCTCTGAATATCAGCAGCTACCATACTGGGTGAACAGAGATCAAATGACTCACACAGCACAGACCTTCCCAGCTCTACTCTTCCAGCCCAGCAAACAGGGCTCCAGTCTAAAAAGTTTTTAATTTTTTTTTGTTGTTGTTTTGTTTTTTGAGACAGGGGTTCTCTGTAGCTTTGGAGCCTATCCTGGGACTAGCTCTTGTAGACCAGGCTGGCCTCAAACTCACAGAGATCAAATACTGATTGTTGTTAAGGCAACAAACAGGCCATGAATTAAAAACAATGAGGAGTCATGATAGGGCTTAGAGGCAAGAAAGAGACTATGGGTATAATGTAGTTTTTATCTCAAATAATTATTGGAGAATTTGAAACAGGCTTTAGGGCCATGTACTCCAGAGACTAGGGATTTGTATTAGAGAACAGCAAGGATTACACACAGCTTTTCTCTCAGCCTGTACATCTTAAATCTGGAAAATAACAGTACTGTTAGGCAGGGCCACAACTTTTTACAAAGATCCTCTACTTTGGTTGAACTAATGTAAGTGCAATAATTTGGTTACACGATAAGTTCAGTCCTTTACCCAGATTCTTGATTGCCATGGTCTGTGGACCTCAAGAAATGGCCAGCCAGGACATTTTTGGAGCATCTAAAATTGATTACCTGACTCCACATTGCTAATATCAAATACCTCTCTTTCTGTATTGTGATTACACCAGCTTCAAAGTTGGTCAATGAAATCAACTCCCCAGTAAAAATCAGAGATATTGGAGGACACACATTCACTGGTGTCTCGTATCCGTCTCACTGAGCTATCAAGGCACAACCTGGAAGGAGTTGCAGCACTGTCTTTCCAGCACTGGGCAGCAGAGGCAGGATTAGGTGTTTGTTCAAAGCAATTCTCAATTCTCAACTTCATAGCTATGGGTAATATTGCTCTAAACAGAATTAAATAAGTTGATAACACTTGAGAAAAAAAGAATAAAATTCTTAATGATCAAGAAACATTGGAGAACAGAAACAAATAAGAGAAATAATGTACATAAAGCAAATGTTAAAAAAAAAACTGATACCTATAAGTGACTTTAAAACGATGACTCCAGCAGTTGACTGCCCACTCTGTCCCCGTCTCCCCGCCCCCCTACAGTGTACACAATAAACTATTCCTCCAACTCTGGTGTGAAGGCAGAAATGTTCCACATGCAAATCCTTTTCCTCTAAGTGCAATGAACAGTCAACTACATTACACAAATGAAAAAAATTAAAACTCTGAGGTGGTAAGGTCATTTAAGAATTTTGGAGGGAGAATATAAAGGACAACAAGGTCATTGGCCTAGAATGGAACAGTCTGAAATGAAGACCACCTGAGTTAACAGAAGAGAGCTTGTCTCAGAAATGCATTTTCCAAAAGGGTGGGAGTTCAGCTGTTCTAGAATTAATATGCCTTCCCAAGGAGAAATTACTCCAGACACTTAGGAGATTAATAAAGAAAATTCTCTTTAATGAGAGCATTTATCTATCTTTGGCTAATGCTCAAAAAGGAGCCAGCCTAGACAGATTTTGCATTCCACACATGCTATCATCCTTAAGTTTCTTTTAGGTTCACGCTCCAGGTTATGCTTTGAACAATTATTAAAGAGGGAAAGGAGACTGCAAGTCTAGCAGATGGGAGTTACACAGCAAAGGTATTGCCAGAATTATTTCTGAAGTACACCAGTGACTTGATACGACAGATCATTCTTCAGTGACTGGGTCCTGAGGTAAAGGTGCCAGTGAATGGGAAAGACAGAGCAAGCAGAAGGTAGAAAAGATAGAAACTAGGGTGGGAGGTCTTACACTAGCTGTGTTTCATGCCAAGTAATCTTTGTAAGAAGAATACCTTCTTGCACACTACTTCCAGGAAGGGGACAGTGGAAGGAAATGGGGAACTTCTATGAAGTCAGCAGAAACTATCACACAATGGGACAAATTCAGGAAGAGGCTAACCAAACAATTCTGCACAACAGGAACACAGGGTATTTCAAGAACAATACTAAGTTGACAGTGCCTTGGGACTGATAACCATAGCTCCACTTGGTGGAAAATCTTGGGTTCTAGGGATCAGAAGCAACCCTCCACAAAGGCCCTGTCCCAGACCATTAACACCTCTGTATTCCTCATTTTAGAGGTGCTCTGTTTTATTATCAGTGCACCAAGGCCTTACAGAAAAGTTCCCAAGGCCTCTGCCCCAGGCTGTTATTCTCTCTTCCAAGAATGTTCCTTCTCCCTGCTTGAGGGCCTATATATCACCCCAGATCAGTCCTCAACACAATAGTGTTTTATCTTTTGAGTACTGGTCACCTGATATCCCTCAGAACTCTGCTTTTCTCAAGAAGAAAACCGGAGCTTTAAGGCACACCAGCCCTTAAGGTCGATTATGACCCAGTAATGCCACCTTGAGCAGCTTGTTAGAGGACTGTTCTTTGATACAGAGATGGGCCTAGTGACTGTAAATCAGGGGTGGCTTCTTTGTAATGGTTTGGAGCCAAATAACGAAAGTATATCTTAGCATTTCTATCTTTGGGGTGTTTTAGGAGCAACCTTCCCTTAGCTAAATTCTACCGTGTGAAATTTACCATCTACTAAGCATTAGTAATTTCTTTATATCAGTTCTACCCCTCTACATCACAGCTAAGTAGTGGAGTGCTAGCCAACACAATGCATACCTTTTACGACCTCCACAAAATTAACTGAATGGATCTTACACGTAAAGGTTAAATGCAAAGTGCTGAACGTCTAGAAGATACAGGAGAAAGTAGGCCTCTCCAAGTTTGACACCCTGTCTTCCCCGGATGCACCGAAAGCATATTGTTGTTTACTACAAATACTTTTCTACACACAGCTCCGTGCTCACAATGCTCTGAATAGATGCAACCCACAGAGCAAAATTATTCAGAGGCCTGTGCCTGAGTCCAAGGAGTTTCACAGACCGCATGGGAACTCACAGGACAGGGAATCTGACTGCAGATTCCTAACCAGGTCCTGTCCCGGGGAGGACCCGCCACACCGGCTCCCGCACCTCCCATTCGCTCTTCCCATCTGGGGACAGCAGCCCCTCCCTCACCATGTCGTGGCTTCCCAGGTCGCCCATGGCCCCCTCACAGCACTCTGCAGCAGCCCTCGCAGCGCGGCACACGAAAACACTGGCACCAGCTCCTCTTCAAAGCCAAACCCGCAACCCGGCTCCCGGAAGTGCCCTGCACTACTTCTGACTGGCAGTTCGGCCTGGAGGCCCTGATTGGCTAGTGATGAGAGCACCTCCTTTAGGGTTACATTGTTCTTAAAGACACAGCACAATGGGTCCTGATCTCGCCCTCCACCCCAGACCCAGATCTTTTCCAAATCTGCAGAGATACGCATTTCAATAGAACTTGCTCCTGTGCTGTCTTCCTGCGCTCCACAGGCACTCTGCGTTTTCCTCCTGGACACTTTGTGATTAGCTTGCAGGACCCGTTCCTCAATGTGGAGTGGAGTGATTTCCTGTCACACAAGTGGAAGGGCGCCCAGAATATTACCAATTTTAAAGAGAGATTTTAAGACACAAAAGGATATGTTTGTTCTCTGGCTTCAGGTGAAGTGAAGGTACTTTTGACCTGTGAGTCACAGGTACTTCAGAGAACCAGGAGACAAATGCAGCAATCAGGTAAGAAAACATAATAACAGCTCTGTCTCCCATCAGAAGTCTGGATGATGGTTCCATTGCATTCAAAGTTTTCTTGACTCTAAAGTGCTGTTGACCCATGTTCATTTTTGTGAAACTAAAGGTGCTGAGGTGGGCATTTGCTCCCCGCACAGTTTGTTCTATAGTTTCTTGAATGAACGTCTCTATAATTTGACAAATAAAGTGGCACATGTGCTTTACCATCTTATTTAGCCATTCTACTCTTGCGGTGTCTGGAAAATGAACCCAGGTGGGCAGATTGCAGGCGCTCACCCTCAGGTGCACTGCTCACTCCTCATCCTCCAACATCACCAGTGCGTAGCACAGGATGCTGGCCTTGAGGCCGTGGCTCCCCGTGGCACCAAACAAGAAGACCAAGCACCAGCAGCACCCAACTGAAGATCAACCCCAGGTAGCCAAGGACATACACCGGCAGCAGCAGCATGAAGCTATGCACCAGCTGCGCCAGCAGCCCTGGCAAGTTCACACTCAGCACGACCTCAGGCTCAAAGTGAGCGTGGGGAGGATGTGGACATAGCAGCCAGTGACTCTTCGGGCCTTGCACAGGGTGCTGACCAGACATCCAGCTCCCAGCCATCTTCGGCTTTCCGAGCCCCAGTGGCTAGGGCCAGTTACACAATGCAGTCTACTCCTGGAACAGAGAGCACTGCCAGCCAGCGCCTGCACCCAAAGGAGGAGTGCCAGTGGGATATGGGTGTTCCCAGTTGCATGCTAGCCAGGACTCCACATCAACAGCTGGCCCCAGGGGCCTTTCCCCGTGGCTACTACTGCATCCACCTGCCTGCTGCCTCCAGAGAGTCAAAGGGTATCAGGAATTGTGAGGACACACTGGACCAGCCAGCTATGGCCTCACTCTGCCAGCTAGGCCCAAGTTCCCATTGCTGGGACCACCTACCAAAGTCCCAGTGGGTCCCGCAGAAGCAACAGTGGACCTGGACCACCAGGCCTCGGACCCTGAGACCCCAGCTTTACTAGTGATGTGCTGCCATCCCTGGACTGGCTGCCAAAGTTCAAAGAGGGCCCTAAGTCACCTTTCATGCACTACTGCAAGGTCTGTGCAGGGCTGCACACCTATCTGGACCACCTGGAAGGACGGAAGCACTCGAAAATGCAGGTGACTCAAATGACAGGCTATCTATTAATCTGTATTTCTTAATTATGCATTACATTTTAAATAAGCTGCCCAAACAGAATTCTTTAAACAAGAGCAGAAATGCATATACACAGTGTAACAAAATCAACCTTAAATATGTATTAATAGACCAAGATCCATACCAGTGCAAACTATTCACCTCTATATCATATCTCCCTTGTGTTTTTCTTGTTCGTTTGTTTGTTTGTTCGTTTTAGAAATTGACTGTGACTGTGACCATTGACCACTTGTAATCAACCACCTTTAAATGAAAATAAACATTATAAACACTCATTTTGGGAATTTGAGTGTTCTCTCCAAACTGCTTCCTGCTGTTTGTTGGGTGAAATATTTTTATGGGTTCATGGAAACCTTTCGAGAGGTCTCGTTCCATCAAACCACATTAGCCTGGAAGGAATCCACAGGTTCTCATCTTCTGTGGAAACAAAAGCAGAACCTCTTTTTCAAAGCAACATATCCTTAGAACCAAATTTTGAAGTCAAGATTGTAATTATTCAGCCACAGATAAGGCTGTACTTCCAGGTTCTAAAGGCAGGCTTGCGTGGACCGGGCCCTCGGGCACAAAGGGCCCTGCGTGACCCACGAGCATGTGTGGTTACATCCAAGTATGACTCAGCTAAACCCTTGTGCGCGTGTGTGAGTCGCTCGTCATCTGCATCATCAGCATGTGGCGTAGTCACGGCAACCCCCTGTGCACATGTGCTAGTTGGATGCTCCATCTCCCTCTATTTCTCTGCACACTGATCCCCAGGCCTGTAAGAACCCCTTTTAATAAACTCCTAAGTGGGTTTTTTTGCATGTTCCATGTTTCCTTCTCACCCACACCAAGTAATTTCATATAAAATATATATGTTGGTTTAGCTTAGCAGCCCCCAGAATTAAATATCTCCCTGAAGTCAAAAAAGTCAAAGAAGACACAAATATATATATATATGTATATATATATACATATATATATATACACATATATATAAAATCTAGGCTCTCTATGTATATTCCATCTTTATGTGACTTATTTTTCTTTACTCCTTTAATCTATGACTGTCTGTACTCTTTAATATTACTTTTACTGTCTCTTTAAAGACTTTGTTTTTTAAAAACCATTTACTTCTTTTTATAACTGTCCATATTTTTTATCCCCTCTCTCCCAAGCCTACATACATTTATACAACACTGTGACCCATTCAAAGGCCTTTTGTTGTCTGAATCTGTCTTTATTGAATATCTGTATTCATTTTCTGACAAGGAGCACTGTTTTTTCTTTGTTTTGTTTTGTTTGTTTTGTTTTTAATACTAAACAGGCATATCAAGGACAAAGGCTGCTTTGCCTTTTGTCCCCACCCAGTCTAACATGGCAGAGGTACATTCACCACCAGTTCTGCAAGCCATGCTCACCTCCTCAGCTCCAGGAACACAGCAGGTTTTAGCACTCTGCTCACAAACCCCAAGTGCTTTAATCCAGGTGTTTCTGTTGAATTTGTCCATATTGGGTTTTGTGCTCTGAGTTGATGAGGATGACTGACCAGGTCTCTTTCTCTTCGTGTTGTAGCCTTTAGCCAACCAGCTGGACCACTTTCCACTTACATACTAAATTCCCTAGGTTTCTAGAAGACTTAGATGGTCATTTTTAGTCTCTCCATCAAGGAGCCAGCTACCAGGAAATATTCAAATATACTCATTTATAAGTTTTTTGGTCAGCCATCATCAGAGAATCTTCCTCTTGCAGCAGATGGGAACAAACACAAAGACCCACAGCCAGACATTGCACAGAGAGTGAGAACCCTTGAAACACTCAGCCCTAAAAAATGGGGTATATCCATGAAATCCAAGCCCTCAGAGCTCAGGGAACGCCATGGAAGAGTTGAAAAATGGTTTATGAGCCGAGGGAATGGTGGACACTAAGAAAACAATGCTCTCTAAATAAACATGAGGAAAGCTTTTATGAATTCACAAAGACTGAAGCAGCATGGACAGAACCTGCAGGGGTCTGCACTAGGTCCTCCAAGTACATATTATTGGTTCCAATTTAATGCTTTTATGGGATTCCAGAGTGTGTGAGTGAGTGTGCCTCTGATCCTTGTGCCTTCTCTTGGAATCTTTGCCCACTATTAATTTTTTTTGTCAACTTTGATGATAATTTTTGCTTCATCTTATCATATTTTAATTTGCTATATTTTTAAAAAATGAATTAACAAATGAAAACCTAGACACTACTATAAAGGTTAAAAACTGAACTGTCACTTATACCTATTGTACTTTTTTCCAATGCAGTAACACTGAATATCCAGGACAGGCTTCATAGTTCCTCTTCACAGCAACAGAAGCCCTAACTAAAACATTTGGTGTGACACAAACACTTTTTCACAACTATTCTCCCCAAAGAGAACATCTTCTATCTTGACTCAAATTATTGCTGGTTTATTTTTGAAGTGTTTTGTAAGCACATTAAAAAATTTAATGGGTTGTTGATCAAAATACTTCAGCAAAGTGTGTATGAAAGTCAGCCTTAATCATCATCCAAAAACCAGTAATATTACTTTTGTCTTGTGTGTAGTGGAGAAATGCTAAAAATATTACTTTAGACCATTTTTCCCCTCTAGCTCTATAACAATTATTCTAATTTATGAAACTCATCATCTTCATGGTAATGGAAATCTTGCAACTTTTTCTTTGTTATTTACCTGACATCATTAAAGTCTTTATTTATTTTGTAAGAAAGACTAAATACTTTATGCCTTAGTATTACTCCCTTTGGGGACTGTGGTAGTTTGAATGTAATTGGCCCCCATAATCTCAAAGGGGGTGGAACTATTAGCAGTTATGACCTCATTGAAGTAGATGTGACTTTGTTGGAGGAAGTGTGTCACCATAAGATCTCCTAGAATCAAGGTTTAGCCTATTGTCAGTCTACTTCCTCCTGCCTTCTGATCAAGATGTAGCCTGAATCATGTCTGCTTGTATGTCACCAGGTTCCTGCCATGATGCTAATAGACTTTACCTCTAAAACTGTAAACTGCTACCTCAATTAAACATTTTCTTTTATAAGAGTTGGCATGGTCATTGTGTCTCTTCACAGCAATAGAAACCCTAACTAAGACAGGGGCCATTTCTTTCAAACCACCACACTATTCACAAAGGAAAAACTAGTTTTCTTTGACATAGTATCACTGGGTATAAGAACCAGTCTTCAGGAGCTATCCCATGCTGAGTAGTAGATAGCCAGTACAAAATGAACTCAATGGCATTTTTGCAGGTTGCTTGTCTCATAATGATTTGTCAGGGCATTTTATTTTTCTTCTTTTTCTTTCTTTTCAGATCTTTTGTGTATGTACTGATGTACATTTTATGGAATTT